AGTTGAGTTTCGTAAATTATGACATTCATAATAATATATATATTATTGGCATAAACATTTAGCTAACTGTAGTTATAGTTCTTATTTAAATTTAGATTTATTCATGATTTTTTTTTTATCACATGCCTCGAATTTATACATAATATAGCTAGCACTTGACAACCTGCAAGACACTTCCGTGTCTCTAATTGATTATAATAAACATGAGAAATAAGAAATATGTATAGGTAATATACTTTAAGATAAAACTTTGTCTTTACAATTAAATGTCGATAAATGAAATCTCAGCAGCACACAAGTACATTGTTAAGGTTAATTTATTTTTTGTAAGTCACATTATAATACTATTGTTACATAACTCGCACTTGTAAAATATGTAAAAAATGATTCTGTTACATAACATTGTTACAGTTGGAAAAGAAATGAAAAATGCGTATACTTTTAGTTTTATAAATCAATAAATTGTGATATATTTCAGCCATCTGTACAATATATAATTTATTATTATTGATATAAAGATTTAATTCAAACACCATAACATGTAAAGAGAATTGTTTAATTGTGTGATATTGCTTCTATACATATATTGATTAGATAAAGATCATTCGTGGTGATTTTGTTTTACAAAAAGTTTCGGTAACCTGGCAACGGATTCGAGAATGAATTGAGAGATACGAGCTGGAATAAAATACGAATTTAAAATATACTGATTTTTCACCAAGAATAATGTTGAAATGAATATAATATTATTCTATATATATAAAATTAATCTGCTACAAACATATTTTTGTTGTTTAAATATGCGATCAGTTTTTAATTTAAACCAAATTTTTTTCTTATGAAGCAAAATGTTATATCTTTGTCACAATCAAATTGTTAAAAATAATTGTTATTATAAACAAATTTAAATAAAATAATTATAAATAAAGTGTTGTTCTATAAAGCAATAAGTTATGTCTGAAGCTTTTTGCATACAAATATAATTTAATAAATAACTGAGAGAACTCTAACTGAGAGTTGCAATATACTAAAAGAAAAATAAATGTAATATATCTGTTCCGGATGTTAGGTATTAATGCAATTTAATTGTACGTTTTGTCAAATAACTTCATCAAAAAGCGCTTAACTGAAACAAAGCGTGTTTAAATTATATATTTTCAAACTTTATTTACAACGGCGCTTTAATATAGTGCACGGCAGAAAAATTTGATAACTGCTTTTCCGAGTTTTTCTGAAGTTCTGCTTTTTTTTCTGGGCTGAAATTCTTTGCTTTCGAATATTTTGCGTACCACTTTATTAAAAATTACCCTGAAGCTTGAGAATTTTAAAACGTAGCGCAATAGAAATCTAAAACAATTGAAATAATAATTCTATAATAAAGTAATATACTTACGTTATAATACATAATTGGAACAAAATTGACAATATTTAATATTTG